CACACACACACACACACACACACACACACACACACACACACACACGAAAGTAAAACAACAACAAATGAAACCCATTAAGTGGGAATCGAGGAGTGAGTGTAAGAGGAAGCTGAGAAGGACCAGCACTACATCTGTAAGTTTTCATAAATGTGTCCCTCCTGCACCTCCTTCAGGAAGCCAATAGAGAGCTTGCTCCACCAAAACAAGCAAGTGAACCAGGAGGAGGAAACCAGAGACCCTTACAGCAGAGTACAGGGTCCCGGGTAACATGAGATGGCAAGACAGGGAAGCTGGGAGGTTTTCCCAGAGAACAGTGCTACTCGTGGAGCACAGCCAGGACAAACCTCTACAGTGGGTGTACCGTTAAGACCTAAACTCGGGAGGCAGAGCCAGGCGGATCTCTGTGAGTTTGAGGCCAGCTTGGGCTACAGAGCAAGATCCAGGACAGGCACCAAAACTCCAGAGAAACCCTGTCTCAAAAAAAAAAAAAAAAAAAAAAGACCTAAATAACAACAACAAAAATGAAGAACCTGTTAACCGCAAGAAAACAAAAGCTGACAAGAAAACAGTTTCTCTAGACACTGCGTGGCTCAGCTGTGAAGATATGCACAGTCTTAGTTATGTCCCGTGGGTGGAAACAAGGGATTTGGGAGAGCAGTGGAAACAAGATGGGCCGTCAAGAGGGCTCATCTCTATTCTCCAGGCAGGAAGCCAGAGCATCTAAGACAGAACATGTACAAAACAATTATAACAGATGCTCTAAAAGAACCTGAGAGTTGGACAGTCTCGGGGGAGAACAGACAATTGCTGTTTATGAAACACCAAGTACATCCTAAAATATCTGTTCATGTCATTTTGTAAAAATTCAAAATTCTTTCCAGGTATGGTGGTGCACACTTTTAATCCAAGCACTCAGGAGACAGAGGCAGGCAGGTCTCTAAGTTGGAGGCCAGCCTGGTTTACATAATGAGCTCCAGGACAGACAGCCAGGGCTATGTAGAGAGACTGTCTCAAAAACAAAATAAAGCCAGCCAGTCTGGTCTACAGAGTGAGTTCTAGGACCGCCAAGGCTGCACAGAGAAACCCTGTCTCAAAAAACAAAACAAACAAACAAACAAAAATACACACAAAAATTTAATTGTAAAATGTAATAAATACAAATGTTTTGTGAGATTAAAAAATGACCAGTTAATAGCAGTATAGGAATCATTTCCAGAGCTGAGGACTGAGCTAAATGCCCAACCCCATCCCTTTGTATTTTCTACCCCTACCAGACTCAGGGAAGATTGGCTCCCCCTCTATGGAAGAGGCCATTCTGATGCTGACACAGTGGGATGGCCAGTGCAGCAGGGACCCAGACCTTGGCCATAGCCCACAACTTAGTTCCTGCCACATTTCATCACATGTGCGAATAAATGATGTTCAGTTTAAAAACCACAATGAGGTCAGGATCAAAAACAAGCACCAAAGAAAGGTCCATGCCCAGTTTACATCTTTTTTTTTTTTTTCTTTGCTTAAAAGAAAACCTAGGGCTGGAGAGATGTCTCAGCGGTTAAGAGCACTGGCTGCTCTTCCAGAGGTCCTGAGTTCAATTCCCAGCAACCACATGGTGGCTCACAACCATCCTTAAGGAGATCTGGTGCCCTCTTCTGACCTGCAGGTGTATATGCAGACAGAACACTGTATACATAATAAATAAATATATCTTAAAAAAAAATCATGTGTCAT